AGACGACGCTGGCCAGGGCCTGCAGGAAGTCGGAGCAGCACCACACCGGGTCCTGGGGGTAGCTGTGGTAGATCAGACACAGGAACTGCATGACGTTGCCCGGATAGGCCGCCTCCCAGGAGCCCTCTGGACCTGCGAAGGGCTGAACACGGAGAGGCCCGTCCCGTCAGGGCAGCGTTTCGCTTGCGCGGGCGCCCAGCGGAGCTCACGCAGCGCCCCTTGGTCTTCTCGCCCCTTCCCTCGGGTCTGCAGGGCCCCGGCACGCTCAGAGCTGGAGACGCCCTCCATGGATGTGCCCTGCGGCCCCTGGAGCAAATCGCTCAGATCCCCGTGTCCCTCTCCCCAGCCTGAAAGAGGCCCGTCCCGTCAGGGCAGCGTTTCGCTTGCGCGGGCGCCCAGCGGAGCTCACGCAGCGCCCCTTGGTCTTCTCGCCCCTTCCCTCGGGTCTGCAGGGCCCCGGCACGCTCAGAGCTGGAGACGCCCTCCATGGATGTGCCCTGCGGCCCCTGGAGCAAATCGCTCAGATCCCCGTGTCCCTCTCCCCAGCCTGAACACAGCGCGAACCGCTCAGAATGGGCACCGGCCGGGCCCAGAGGTGCCCTGGGGGGCCAGGATCCGGCCCTGGCGGGATGCACAGAGGTGCTCTCTCTGTAGCCATGACAACACGGCCAGGCCGGCAGCCTCCCCCCCCCCCGCCGCGCCCGCCACAAGTCCTGGATGGTTGGGCTGCCCAGGGGGCATGTTGTCGGGCTGCCTCTCCCCGCTTGGGGATCCCAGGGAGCAAAGACGCCAGACCAACCTCATTCACGCCCCTGGCCTTTGCGGGGGCTTTACCTTGACGGCTTCCGGTGGGTCACAGTGGGGGGCTCCTAGGAACAGCCCAGAGACCAGCAGGTAGATTTCGGGGAGGTGAATGTGACTGGCCAGACACGCTTTCAGCACCGTGAGCCCGAAAACCAGGTAGGGGCCATAGTCAGGTGGGGAGGGCCCGCTTTTCAAATTGCCTGGAAGCGAAGGAGGAAAACATGCTTGGACCAGCTCCGTTCCCATCCTGCCTCAGGAGCGGTGGAGAGGGATGACTGATGGACCGTCCGTGCTCTGGGGTCCCAACCATCCCGTCGTCTTCCTCGTCACGAGCCTAGTGGAGAGGGATGACTGATGGACCGTCCGTGCTCTGGGGCCCCAACCATCCCGTCGTCTTCCCCGTCACGAGCCAGCCGTTCAAAGAACGTCTCGGACGCGAATAGAAAACCACCCGCTGTTCTCACGCGCACGGCATGACGTTCTCCCTCCACATGCGCCTGCCCCGACTAAGTGGGAGGCCTGGAAGGTGATGATGGGGCCAGATCTGACCTCCGGCACGGTCCCGACCAAACCGTCTCCTCCCCCAGGGACTCCTGGTCTGGAATCCCCGGCCTGCAGTATAATGGAGGTGGCCTCTCCCGGCCCTCGTCCCATACGCAGCTCACAGTGACGTCAATGGGAGGTTTGCTACGGGAGCGGTCGGGGAGCCCTGCCTAGTTGCTTCTGCACCAGAGTTCTCCCCGGACACGGCTATTTGGGGAGCGAGTCTTCCCTCTGGGACGTACCCATTAGAAGATCCAGGCCTGTGGAGCTGTTTTCCACCCAGCGCCCGGCCACCACCCCCTCCTTGAATTTGCTCAGCAGCGGGGGATTGTGGAGGAAGTGCAGCAGCAGCTTAACCCCCAGCACGACGGTGCTGGGGTGCAGATGGCTTTGGGTGAACAGCAGGAACCAGTCAGGCCCCAGCGCCAGGAACGTCTCCTCTTGAGCCCTGGGAGAAACACGGCAGGAGAAGGACGCACGGTGAAGACTTGACCTACAAGCCTCCGTCACAATGGAGACTTTAGTCTCCCAATTCACTTAGGCCCTTACTCTGAAAGGTATTTAGATACCTAATTCCCGTACTTTTGAGGATGGTGCAACTGAGTTAGGCTCCTAAATCACTTAGGCTCCATTGTACCCACAATCTGGTGTTAAGGAGATTAATTAGCTTATTTGTGCACAGACATCAAGCAATCTAATCTCTGCCAGGCCCAATTTTATTTATTCCCAGACAAACTACATCAAGATGGAATCGAGGTTAAGATGAATAGCTTAGTAGTTTAGGTAAAACCCCCTTGAGGGATGCTGGAATGCTCAGGACCCAAGCATTATAAACCCAGGAAATTCAAAACTAGGATTTAAACCTGGAAGAAATCCCAACATGCTAACGCATGCAAATCCACAATGAAGACACCTTGGCAACCTTAACTCTGCCCTGTAGTGATGCAATAACTGTGGGATTAGGATTAAGACATTGTCCTATTTGTAATCTCTGTGAAATGAAACTGCTTTCGAAAGGCACATTCGATTTCTTTGCCCCTGACAGCGCTGATAAAGAATCCACAATTTCTCTGGTCTATCTTTTGGTAACCGTGAAGAAAATATTGTCTGGTTAATGGCTACCACTCTACATCTCAGATACCTCACTGGAAAAAAATCTCCCAACATGATACATTCCTCCAATCTCTTGATGGCTGACGACACTCATAAATGCTAGCCGGACGTTGAGCTCTGGTCAAACCCAGAGAGAAAGGAACTCGCAAGAGAGACACAGTCCCTCCTCCGCCCGCTCCACCCTCGAATGGCCCTACGTACTCAGAGGACAGATGAAGTTTGTCGGAACACATTACGTCTAACAGCATCTTCAGTAACTGATTTCGGAGCCAGATTGTCTTCCCAGATGTTTGGCTTAAGGCTATAAAAATCAGAAGGAAATAAAAAGTCAAGAGGAGACAAAACTCGTGTTTGCAGCACTTCGATGAACAGCCTTGTTGGTACCCAATGCAAATATCATTGGTCGTTAGCTGGGCGGAGTGGTGCAGGTGTGAATATTTGGCAGTGGCGATCCTGTCACTGTAAGCATGAGTCATTTCTGAGTTCTAGTCCTACCGCCCCATCACAGGGCATGTTTAAAACTAGACGGGACAAAATGCTGGATAATGAATCAGCTGTAAGGAACAACTCTAGACTGGTGCAAGGGGAGGCTGGAAGAGATGACTGCAGAGGCATTTTTCCTCCTCTAAACACATATTCTGTTGCTTGGATGTGCTGTAGCCTGTAAGATCGTCCCTGGGACCACGTACAGGATGATAAGTAGCAGGAGATCTGGGCGGCTTGGTCTCCCAAACGGACATTTCGCTCCCTGGGGACTTGTGAAAACCGGTCCTTTGGGTGCCACAGGCAGATGAACGCTGCACCCACAAAGCAGCCAGTGAGATACCGGAGAGGGGAATGAATCACTAAGCTCCTTACCTGGTGGGGCTGTCTGCTCTGTAACCTGGGGTCCCCCTGCGCTGGGATGGGAGATTCCCACGGACTCACCCACATGTGTACTAACCCAGACACCTAGGCTCAGCCGGAGGGGATAACAGGGGATTCCCAGGGGGAGAGACAAAGGGAGAGAGGCGTAGACCAGCACCAGGTTTTGGGGGAAGGGGCAGTTGCTGGCTGGAAAAACATGAAGGAAGTAGCCTTAGCTGAGGGCTGAGGGTCTAGGGATGAGAATGGCCCCCCTAATCCAAGGGGTCTGAGGCATCCTGGCCCGGACTCCTGATGCCACATCACGTCTGTGCTGTATCGTGGAGGAGCAATAAACCCTTTCTATACTACTGTTGGCAGAGTCCCATCTTGCTGCAGACGGGGTGCAGGATCGGGGGGTACCCGACGTGCTGCCCACCATCCCGTCGTCTTCCCCGTCACGAGCCAGCCGTTCAAAGAACGTCTCGGACGCGAATAGAAAACCACCCGCTGTTCTCACGCGCACGGCATGACGTTCTCCCTCCACATGCGCCTGCCCCGACTAAGTGGGAGGCCTGGAAGGTGATGATGGGGCCAGATCTGACCTCCGGCACGGTCCCGACCAAACCGTCTCCTCCCCCAGGGACTCCTGGTCTGGAATCCCCAGCCTGCAGTATAATGGAGGTGGCCTCTCCCGGCCCTCGTCCCATACGCAGCTCACAGTGACGTCAATGGGAGGTTTGCTACGGGAGCGGTCGGGGAGCCCTGCCTAGTTGCTTCTGCACCAGAGTTTTCCCCGGACGCGGCTATTTGGGGAGCGAGTCTTCCCTCTGGGACGTACCCATTAGAAGATCCAGGCCTGTGGAGCTGTTTTCCACCCAGCGCCCGGCCACCACCCCCTCCTTGAATTTGCTCAGCAGCGGGGGATTGTGGAGGAAGTGCAGCAGCAGCTTAACCCCCAGCACGACGGTGCTGGGGTGCAGATGGCTTTGGGTGAACAGCAGGAACCAGTCAGGCCCCAGCGCCAGGAACGTCTCCTCTTGAGCCCTGGGAGAAACACGGCAGGAGAAGGACGCACGGTGAAGACTTGACCTACAAGCCTCCGTCACAATGGAGACTTTAGTCTCCCAATTCACTTAGGCCCTTACTCTGAAAGGTATTTAGATACCTAATTCCCGTACTTTTGAGGATGGTGCAACTGAGTTAGGCTCCTAAATCACTTAGGCTCCATTGTACCCACAATCCTTCCGTACGCAACTGAGTTAGGCCCCTAAATCACTTAGGCTCCATTGTACCCACAATCTGGTGTTAAGGAGATTAATTAGCTTATTTGTGCACAGACATCAAGCAATCTAATCTCTGCCAGGCCCAATTTTATTTATTCCCAGACAAACTACATCAAGATGGAATCGAGGTTAAGATGAATAGCTTAGTAGTTTAGGTAAAACCCCCTTGAGGGATGCTGGAATGGTGAATAGCTTAGTAAAACCCCCTTGAGGGATGCTGGAATGCTCAGGACCCAAGCATTATAAACCCAGGAAATTCAAAACTAGGATTTAAACCTGGAAGAAATCCCAACATGCTAACGCATGCAAATCCACAATGAAGACACCTTGGCAACCTTAACTCTGCCCTGTAGTGATGCAATAACTGTGGGATTAGGATTAAGACATTGTCCTATTTGTAATCTCTGTGAAATGAAACTGCTTTCGAAAGGCACATTCGATTTCTTTGCCCCTGACAGCGCTGATAAAGAATCCACAATTTCTCTGGTCTATCTTTTGGTAACCGTGAAGAAAATATTGTCTGGTTAATGGCTACCACTCTACATCTCAGATACCTCACTGGAAAAAAATCTCCCAACATGATACATTCCTCCAATCTCTTGATGGCTGACGACACTCATAAATGCTAGCCGGACGTTGAGCTCTGGTCAAACCCAGAGAGAAAGGAACTCGCAAGAGAGACACAGTCCCTCCTCCGCCCGCTCCACCCTCGAATGGCCCTACGTACTCAGAGGACAGATGAAGTTTGTCGGAACACATTACATCTAACAGCATCTTCAGTAACTGATTTCGGAGCCAGATTGTCTTCCCAGATGTTTGGCTTAAGGCTATAAAAATCAGAAGGAAATAAAAAGTCAAGAGGAGACAAAACTCGTGTTTGCAGCACTTCGATGAACAGCCTTGTTGGTACCCAATACAAATATCATTGGTCGTTAGCTGGGCGGAGTGGTGCAGGTGTGAATATTTGGCAGTGGCGATCCTGTCACTGTAAGCATGAGTCATTTCTGAGTTCTAGTCCCACCGCCCCATCACAGAGCATGTTTAAAACTAGATGGGACAAAATGCTGGATAATGAATCAGCTGTAAGGAACAACTCTAGACTGGTGCAAGGGGAGGCTGGAAGAGATGACTGCAGAGGCATTTTTCCTCCTCTAAACACGTATTCTGTTGCTTGGATGTGCTGTAGCCTGTAAGATCGTCCCTGGGACCACGTACAGGATGATAAGTAGCAGGAGATCTGGGCGGCTTGGTCTCCCAAACGGACATTTCGCTCCCTGGGGACTTGTGAAAACCGGTCCTTTGGGTGCCACAGGCAGATGAACGCTGCACCCACAAAGCAGCCAGTGAGATACCGGAGAGGGGAATGAATCACTAAGCTCCTTACCTGGTGGGGCTGTCTGCTCTGTAACCTGGGGTCCCCCTGCGCTGGGATGGGAGATTCCCACGGACTCACCCACATGTGTACTAACCCAGACACCTAGGCTCAGCCGGAGGGGATAACAGGGGATTCCCAGGGGGAGAGACAAAGGGAGAGAGGCGGAGACCAGCACCAGGTTTTGGGGGAAGGGGCAGTTGCTGGCTGGAAAAACATGAAGGAAGTAGCCTTAGCTGAGGGCTGAGGGTCTAGGGATGAGAATGGCCCCCCTAATCCAAGGGGTCTGAGGCATCCTGGCCCGGACTCCTGATGCCACATCACGTCTGTGCTGTATCGTGGAGGAGCAATAAACCCTTTCTATACTACTGTTGGCAGAGTCCCATCTTGCTGCAGACGGGGTGCAGGATCGGGGGGTACCCGACGTGCTGCCACACCTGGCTTTAGAACAGACCTTCCCAGACATGGGTTTTCTCTGCCCCCCTTCTCTACTCCTGTGCTGTTCAGAACCCAGCAAAACAATTCATTTTGGACACATGCGCCTCCAGGTTCTGCCCTTCCTGCCACCCCTCCGAGCAGAGCTCTGATTTAGAATCCGCCTTTGGGGGGTGAGAAATCGTTCTCCAAAGGGATCTCCTTACCTTCTCCTGGCGTATCGGTGATGCCATCTGGGCAAATCTGACTTTCGTCCACAGAAGAGGGCTTCAGAGTGTACACCAGGAACAATCCAATCCTGCCAGAGAAAAGGGAGCCATTTTTAGTTGGCAGCGTTGCATTGTGAGTCTCGTGATAGCTGTTGATTTTCTTACAGTCTCAGCTCCGGGAGTCATGGGATTATGCGGCAGCCTCGGCTTTCACGAACAAAGCAACGTGTCTAGCCCTTGTGGAGAAACACTCACAATTTTAAAGCCAGTGTTGGGATTTTAGGGGGCTGCCCCTCGAGTTTTGAACCACCGGGTCTGGGAGTATTGGGTTGGCCGCGCTGCTCATGCCAGGATGCCGGTTTCTGGTTCCCCCCAAACGGATGAGCCTCACACACGCACCCAGCAAGGGGAGCCGTGCCAGCATCCGACTCTGGGAGCGGCGTTTCCAACAGACTAAAATGCCAAACTCCAGGAACACTCCAGACACCTCAATGCAGAATAGCAGTGCCCCGGGTTGGGGAGAGCGCGGCTGGCCGCGCTGCTCATGCCAGGATGCCGGTTTCTGGTTCCCCCCAAACGGATGAGCCTCACACACGCACCCAGCAAGGGGAGCCGTGCCAGCATCCGACTCTGGGAGCGGCGTTTCCAACAGACTAAAATGCCAAACTCCAGGAACACTCCAGACACCTCAATGCAGAATAGCAGTGCCCCGGGTTGGGGAGAGCGCGGCTCCGTGGGGTAGGCCCTGATTCTGGGTGGTGGGCAAGAATGGGGGGCAGGGGGAACAGGACAGGATGGAGGGGGCGGGATAAGACCCAGCCTCTCTCCTTGGCTTGTTTTCCCAGGGGAGAGGGGGAAGAGGCGTAAGCCCCCACACCCCGACCCCTTTCCCCCACTGGCTCACCGGGCGGATGGAGGGGGGTGGGCCCAGGAGCAAAGTGGGCGGGGCCATGTCTTAATACAGGTCCACAGTTTTTAATGTTGCTCGGTGCCTGCTGCACTATCTGCTTTCTTGGGAGACTGGGACACGATCTGCCTTTATTTGCTTGGCCTCTCCTCCACCACGCACATTGCCAGGTCCAAACCGTTACCAACACGGCAGACCTCGCATGGTGAAGGCAGAGGAGGAGGCTGCCCGGGGGACGGCGGGTCCCAGCATACAATGCGGCATTAGACCAGAGCAATTTCATTCAACTCCAGGTGGAGGTTTGAAGCTGGCCCGGGGCATCTCGGTGGTTGTGGACAGGACCGGATGGGCCTGCCGAGTGCTGCAGTCTTGTGTTTCAAGGAGCTTGCTCTCCAAACAGCAAGCGAGGGCTGGAATCATCTTCTGCAGAAGGCCCCAGGAAAGGCCATCTCCGGAAGAGTCAGAAGGACCCATTGGACACCATCCAAGCAATGGGATCCATCAGAAATCATCCTCCAAAGGGATAGAATCCTAGAATACCAGGGCTGGAAGGGACCTCGAGAGGCCATCAAGTCTAGTCCCCTGCCCTCATGGCAGGACCAAATACTGTCTAGACCATCCCTGATAGACATTTATCTAACCTACTCGTCAATATCTCCAGAGATGGGGATTCCACAACCTCCCTGGGCAACTTATTCCAGTGTTTAACCACCCTGACAGTTAAGAACTTTTTCCTAATGTCGAACCTAAACCTCCCTTGCTGCAGTTTAAGCCCATTGCTTCTTGTCCTGTCCTCAGAGGCCAAGATGAACAAGTTTTCTCCCTCCTCCTCATGACACCCGTTTAGATCCCTGAAAACTGCTATCATGTTCCCCTCAATCTTCTCTTTCCTAAACTAAACAAACCCAATTCTTTCAGCCTTCCTTCATAGCTCATGTTCTCTAGACCTTTCATCATTCTTGTTGCTCTTCTCTGGACCTTCTCCAATTTCTCCACATCTGTCTTGAAATGCGGTGCCCAGAACTGGACACAATCCTCCAACTGAGGCCTAACCAGCGCAGAGTAGAGCAGAAGAATGACTCCTCGTGTCTAGCTCACAACACACCTGTTAATGCAGCCCAGACTCATGTTTGCTTTTTTTGCCACAGCATCACACTGCTGACTCACATTCAGCTTGTGGTCCACTATAACCCCTAGATCCCTTTCTGCCCTATTGCTTCCTAGACAGTCGCTTCCCATTCTGTAGGTGTGAAACTGATTGTTCCTTTCTAAGTGGAGCACTTTGCATTTCTCTTTATTAAACTTCATCCTGTTCACCTCAGACCATTTCTCCAATTTGTCCAGATCATTTTTAATTAGGACTCTATCCTCCAGAGCAGTTGCAACCCCTCCCAGCTTGGTATCATCTGCAAACTTAATAGAAGGATCTCCTTACCTTCTCCTGGCCTGGCCTGGGAGCAGGCTATGGTAACCTTATCTACCTTGAGTAGCTCCTTAGGACTGCAGTCATCCCACTGGGGTTATCGGTGTTTTCATTCTACAGGCTGCGACTTAGGCGGGGGGATTTCCACTCACAGGAACAGGACTGAATTTAATTCTGAACTGGCTGTCGGGGGAGTTTCCCTCCTATGATTTTTCTGGCAGGGATCTATAGGTGTCTTTGCCCAGCACGCTAAGGCCATGTCGAGACTACATTCTATTTTCGAAAGAGGCTATGCAAATTCCCCGGGAATTTGCATGTCTTCTTCCTATCTCACGTTCGAAAGAGGATCTTTTTAAAGTGAAAGTAGTCTGGATGCAGGGTTTTTTTGGAAAAATTACCACTTTTTTTTGAAAAGGGGTTTTTTCCTGAAAAAAAACCCTGCGTCTAGACTACTTTCACTTTCGAAAGCTCCGCTTTCAAAGGTGAGATTGGAAGAAGATATGCAAATTCCTCTTTTGAATCTTCCCCATAGTTAGACGTAGCCTCAGCAAGGATGGAAGGGGTAGGACCCCTGTGCTTGTCGAGGGATTGCTCATTTGAAAGCTGAGAAAATACTGCAGGGCGGGGGTTACCTGAGAACGTCTCTGGTGTTGAAGTAGCCCTGCAGCTGGTGGGAGAAGATGGTACAGATCACGGTGACTCGCGAGCGGCTGATCTCCGTGTCGTTGAAGAGGAAAACCAGCTTGGGCACCATTTGCATCTGGTAGGCGACTTTGGCGTTCTGACATCTGTCTCTACTTCAAAGCAAGAGGGAGGTTAAAAGCCTTTCCTGGAAAGAGCCAATTCTGGAGAGTTTCTGCTAAAAGCGTTCTCGGGCTGCACTCACTTTTTGGACCGCTGACTTCTGATGTTGCCTTGGCAACTGGTCAAAACACTGTCAGACAAATTGAATATGTGTCGGGGATGGGGACCTGAAGCCTTCTTGATGTTTCCTTCCCCCCCATCGCCCCCCGCCCCTTTCCCTGGAAGCTGCTGCCTTTCAGCAACTCCCAAGAAAACAAAGTTATTGACTTTTAGAGCCATAAACTGGTGGAAATAAATGCTGTTCTTGTAAAATTCAGCAAGAGACACCAGATGGGATCATGTGGGGCTTTTCAGTGCCAAGAGAAAGAAAGCTATAGGTCTCACTTAGGCAGTCTGCTTGTCTCGCCCTCTGTCCCCAAACAGATATACCTCTCTCACATTGCTGATTGGGGAATTATTCTTTTTTCTGGGCAAATTTGGATGGTAGGAGGTTGTTAAAAAAATCTGAGAAGTCTTTGGTCTAAATTTCAGCTTAAAACTCAAAATCTTTCATCAACAAGGTGTTTTTTTGGAGGGAAGGTGAGAAATTTCACAAACGTAAATGTTCAGACCCAAAGTTTACTTGGCAAAGGTTTTTGCAACCAGCTTCATTATCATGAATAAACAGGCATCTGGTTCCCGTTGAAACAAAAGACAGGACTATGCAGCACTTTAAAGACTAACAAGATGGTTTATTAGGTGATGAGCTTTCGTGGGCCAGACCCACTTCCTCAGATCAAATTGTGGAAGAAAATTGGCATGGACATAAATACCAAAGGGATACAATCAAAAAAAAAAAGTGAACACACATAAAACTGACAAATCAGATTTTAGAACAGAGGAGGGGGTGTGAGGGAGAAGGTAGCGTCTATGGGTATGTCTACATTACAAAGTTAATTCAAACTAACAGACGTTAGTTCGAATTAACTTTGATAAGCGCTACACATGCGAACCGCTAGTTCGAACTTAATTCGAACTAGCGGAGCACTTAATTCAAACTAGGTAAACCTCATTTTACGAGGATTAAGCCTAGTTCGAATTAACTAGTTCGAATTAAGGGGTGTGTAGGCTACACATGCGAACCGCTAGTTCGAACTTAATTCGAACTAGCGGAGCACTTAATTCGAACAAGGTAAACCTCATTCTACGAGGACTAACGCCTAGTTCGAATTAACTAGTTTGAATTAAGGGCTGTGTAGCCACTTAATTCGAACTAGTGGGAGGCTAGCCCTCCCCAGCTT